AGCTGTACAGTGGTGTCTATAATGATGACCTTGCTACTGACAGTCTTTGGGAGGACCATCAACATTAGAAGTTCCTTGACACCCCTAATGACAGCATCACTTCTAATGACAACCTTAGAAGTTCCTAATGACACCCCTCTGTAGGACCACTTGTTGAGCCTCAAGTGGTAGCTGCTTGAAACCAACAGTAAACACATTGTTGACATGGAGAAGTTGTCTCTTTCTACACTACCTGATCCCTGTCTTCTCTCCTCTGACCTCAGTGTTTTAAGGAGAGAGATGATTGGGGTGGATCCAAGGTCTTCCTGTGCCCAAGGGGTACTTAAGGCCACACACACCAGCCCTAGTATGATGGGGAAGAGAGGGACTCAAACTATTTATAGCTCTGTTGGATACAGCAACCCAAGTTACCATCCTACCTGTTTCCATGGAGGGAAAGGACACTGAATTCAACTGCTGGGGTTTGGTGCTTCTCAGTGGGTAAGGAAAACTAAAGTAAGTTAGTGGGAAGAATCCTTTGGGCTTATTAAATGTGCTGTTGTTGTGGCTTCCATATCTGATTGTATAATAAGAACTGATGTGCTACATGTCTGCACTTTACAGATCCCACAAGTGTCAGAAGGGGTTTTCACATTCAGGAACTGCTGCCCATGGAGGGCATTTCCCAGTACAGTAGCATCACCTTCTTGATGGAGCCACAAAGTCCATGCTTTTTTTTTTTTTTGAAACAAGTAGCTATTAATATGCAACTAAGCTCTTATGGAAAATGAACACCTGACAACTTCATTTTTGTGTGGGTCTACTTGGACTCAATGATTAATGACATGGGAAGGCCCCAACAGGCCTGCTAGACAAACAGAAATGGTATATTCAAGAGTGTAGCTGGTCTGGCCCTAGCATCATCTCAGTTTTACATGAAAAAAATGGCAGCTTTTCCTTTGGGGGAAACTATATTCCCCACTCCACCACCTGAAACAAAGCTTCTGGTTCAATAGTGCTCTCACAGATTTCTTTCAATGACTGGGCCTAGTTCACTGATGGTTTGGCTAAGTTAAGTTGATGGTTCCTTTGAACAGCAGCAGCCATCCAACACCAATGACAGCTCTGGAAGACCAACTGTGGTAAGGACCAGTCAGCACAATGGTCTGAATTGAAAGATGTCATTCTTGTCTTAGGCAATGCTCCCAAGGGCCAGGCACTTTATATTTTTACAGACCTTTAGACTATTGCCAATGGCCTAGCTGTCTGTCCAGTCTGCCATTTGAAAGACTCTAGACTGGCAGATTAATGACATCCCTCTATAGGACCACAAACTGTGGAAATAAATCATAGCTGCCTATCAGTCTGGGTCACTGATGTAGATGCCCATGGTAAGAGCCCATTCTCTGATGAGACCAATTGGAATCAAGCTGTTTTTCAAGCCTGTGCTGACCAGATCATTGTCATCACTACTGGGATCCATCTATTATACCATATATGGCAGACATGGCAGCACATCTGCCATCATGGACAGGGCCCAAAGTAAAGTTGTTTCTGATGCAGAGGCTACCACTGCATATCAGACTTGCAACTCCCACCAAAAGTTGGCCTGTTTGTCCTGCAGTGAAGAAGGTTATGTTTGCCTTGTCCACTCCTAGCAAACTGACTACATCAAACCCTTGATTCTTATTTTGGGATAACCCTAACATCTTACCACTGTCAACACTTTTTCAGGTTACTGTCCAGTCACTGACTTTGGCTACTCCACTGTGGCTCTTGAAACCAAACTGTCATATTTTTAGCTTTCCATACTATCTTTAGTCTGACAATGGTATGTCTTTTGCCATAAAGACCTCTCAACAATGGGCCAATAGTAAAAGTGATCAGTGGACATTTATGACCTTTACCATCCTCAGGTTGCTGGCATTACTGAGAGGTAAAATAGACTTAAAAAACTCAAAAAGATTTCTGACTCTACCTCTCTCACAGCCTCTTGGTCTACACACCTTACTTAGTAAGGCAGTTTGGTCACTAGATGTAGCCATCCCCAGAAAGATTACGGAGTTACATAGACCTATTTTGAAAATTGGAGAATAAATTTTGTAAAAATGCCCTTATTTTACTTATACCTGACCCTTCCAGACAAAAGGTTTGGATACAAGTAGGGGATAATTGGAGAAAAGATAATGTTATAGCTACTGGGAAGGGACATACCAATTTCATGGCTGTGGAGGAGAACAAGAAACCTGGCAACTGGGAGGGGGTTATTTCAAATCCCAGGAGGTACAGGGGAGAGTGATTAATGCTCTTTTAGTCCCCTATATCCAGTACCTCAGCTGGTGCAACAGTCAAATGATCTATGTGAGTCAAACGGCAGCAGTGCTGGTGGTCTGACTCACTGAACCACTTCTGAGCTTGTCATCCCCATCTATGGGCTACAAAAACAGAAAAAGTCATGTGGACATGGCTGGTCCTAAACTCTTCTGCTATGCCTGATGCCAATCAACAGCAGCTCCAAAACATGGACCTTCCCCTCATACCTGTGCAAACTCCCAGACTGACACAACCTTGTTTCAATCTGACTGATACAGATTCACAGCCTTGTCCTAACTCCAAAGCAGCTGTAGGTTGTTCCATGTCTGGTAATCGAGGCTGTAGCTACTCAGAAGACTGTCTATGTAGCCTAATGGTGATCCAAATCAAGTGTAGCAGCAAATTCCAAACACAGTGACTTGTTCTCTCTATGCAGGGGAGAGTGGACCATGGAATGGCTCTCCACTGGCCAAGAGGGTTGCTTTCTGGACCCTCTATTGCCCCCTGTTATTGTTGGCAATCACACCAAAGACCAGCCAGTCACTTCAGTCTTCCTTGTATGAGTCATAATAGATAATAGACTTGACTTAGACTGTTTTAATTAAGACCTACTAGTCTCTACCTAGGATTTATTCATAGTAGGCTAAATCAGGACCCTGGGCGGGGCCAGATGGATGGAGTCAATATTACAAGTTGGCCTCCTTCTGCTGCTTGGGATCCTATTGATCACAGCTCAAATTAAATGCTGTATGAGACAAGTTGAATAGATTTGGTCCCAGTGCTGTTGACCCAATTAATCAGAATGACCATGGAGTGAAATACTCATGTGAAAATTCATTACAAGCTAAGACGGTGTAGGGAAAGCTGTTGGTTATTGGGAGAGAGAGTTTTATTTGGGCCTCTTATTTCCCATGCATGTCTTGCTGAGTGGACAAAGATTGCATGGCCTTGACTTCCCTTTTACCTCGGCCATTTCTTAGGGTTGTTTATGCATCCAATAACCTTAAGAAATGAGGACTATCCCCAGACAAAGAGAAGGTTTGTTTACTGCTTGCTGTAAAAGTGGTAGATTCTTTAAACTCAATAAATGGTCCTCCTCTGCAATGCAAATCCACTGCTTGCATAGCATCCATCTGGGCCATATCACATAACCCCTGTGGAATTTGGGGGCAAAAAAAACTGGTGTAATTATGATAACATTTATGCAATTTGCTGTGCCACAAGTAATGAAATCCTTTGTCTCTGACCCATGAGTCTCGTGTCTTCTGCCAGCATTCATCCAACATTAACAGGCTAACTTATTAGTCTATAAGTAGAGTAAAAATCAATTCCCAAGCCCAACATGCTTATCTCTGGCTTGAACCACCTATGATACCTGATATAAAGCCCAGTTCAGGCAACCATCCCCATACTTAATGTTCAAATATGAACTTCCATAGATATGCTAAAGTTGAAGCTACTCATCATAGATTCTTTGTTGAAAGCATGAGAAAACCAGTAACACATGAATGTAAAAACCAAGGATCATTTCCCTATCTCCTAGAACCTAAACCCATGGGTTCTCCTATGGGAACTCTACACAAAACAGGAATTCTTCACTTCAGTTCCAGTTCTCCCATAGCAAAACCCCTATGAAGGGGTCTGTTACTCCCACCTCACTACAATATTGTGTGAAGAAATATTAGGTATATGGGATATTGTTATATTCTAGTTTAGGGGGAAGGGTAAGATATGGCCTGGATGGGAAAGGAAGTGAATAAGGAGTACTACTAGCCACAGGCAATATTTTATTTTGATTCCTAGCGTGATTTTCAAAAGTACCGTCAATCAGCCAACTAAACAATAAGTCTATCCTCATGGAGGCAGAAAAATGGCTAGAAGACCATTATTTATTTCAGGGATGGAGAGATTAAAAAGATTCAGAGAATAAAGAGTTGAGAAACATAATTTTATTTTCCATTGTCAAAAATCCTACAAAAGCAAAGTATTTAGGGTTCAAAATTCACCTTCAGAAATTTAATAAAAACTCAAACGGCACCAAGTGCTTTGTGCATGATTAACTGCAAAAGATTTTTATATTAGCTATGACTTACTGTTAAAAGCAAATTAAAAAAGAACTTGAGAAAGAGGATGAAATAACAATTTTGAAGCAGAATTACAAAAATCAACATTAAACTACTTCAGAGTTTTGTTCAGACTTCTAGCTAAGTGTCAAATCTGATATATTCTAGATTTACCCCTTTGTAATGTATATGAATAAAACAAACTGCTAAAAATTAGGAAAATTCAAATTGCTTCAGAGAGTAATTTCATATTCACTTGTCTCTACAATTCATTAAAAATAAAAATAAATCGTTTTTGAGAACAACCACAGACATGAATTTGATGGATGACCATTTCTCCGCCCCACTGTGAGCCATGAGGGAAAGGTAGATATGTTTATTCATGTTTTGTATCCTCATGGATAAGTGATGCTGTTGGCATGTCCTGTTATTTAATTAGGTGGAGGCAGAATAAATGCCTGATGCAAAGACACTGCTGGAGTTGTGGTTGATTACTGTAAACAGATACCAGTATTTCAAAACTACCCATAATTTCAAAAAAAGGTTAAAATTTAAATCTCTCTTACAAATAACAAGAAAGAACATCTTTAGAACAATTATGAAAAAATCCGACTTCAGGTCTTTGTTTTAGAACTGGACATTTCCATCATCCAGGGTCTTTGTCTAGCAGGGTTGAGGAGGAGGCGTGTGAACACTCCAGGAGGAGGATTGTATGGATGACATCAGAGCCGGTCAAACACTAAGAGCATGAAAATCTATTTTTCCCATTAAAAAAAACAAAACCCTCAGAATAATTAAAATGAATTCCTACCCAAATTAAATTGCCTTGAAGTTTTCAGTGCAAGCTTTAGGCATTATAAACACTCCTTGACTGTGGCCTGCCAGGTTTCCTCAATCAATCATGCAGTGGCCTAAAATTAAATTGAAATGATTGGATCAAGGAAAATCAAATTTTTTAACATTTAGTTTCAGTAATGTGATTAAGAAGCTTTTAGGGATATTGTAATTACTTTGAAGCTTTGAGCATATGTTTCTATGGAGAGTATTCCAAGGAGAAAAGCTGCACTAGGGAAACAAGTAAATACAGATCCCAATGAAGCAAAATACATTTGTTGTAAAGTTAAAAGCAAAAGGGAGGAAAGAGTCAATGCGCCCGTGCGATTTATACCCTAAACATCCCGCGCAGAGCAACTACTTTAAAATCCCAGCTCATTCCAGAATTGCAATAATGTGATGGCCTCCCTCTAAGGGCAGCGTTGGAGAAGCAATAAGGAGAAACAACAGTAAAGGACAGGGGAAAAAAGGGAAAAAGTCATCATTCTGTGCTAGCTCCAATTTTTGCACAGGAAAACGTGACAGACTAAAATCTCTCTCCCAAAATTAATGAATCATCTTCTCAGAATATGAAACATTTTCATATACCTAGCATACGCCAAAAATCAAACCATATAATTACTAGCTCTCTTCGTTAATTTTTTCATCCACGTCAACACTTACTGGGATTATGCTGGGCTTGGCGGCCACAAAGATAAACGAGATGAGGCTACACTCCGAAGGTCAGTAGCAGCAGAGACTGGATTCTTCTAAGGAGGTGCCTCAACCTCAGAAACAGGGAGGGAGACTGGAGAAGACAAAACAGGAGAGAAGACAATGGTCTCCTCTCCTTTCATTCACAACAGTTACTCACTCAACAATTATTTATCATGCACAAACATAATTCTTCCCTCAAGAATGAGGCAGGTAAGTAAACACACAACCTTAAAATTAAATGAGGTTAGGTCTTGAAACTTGAGCAGGAAAATGATTCGGTCAAAATAATCTGAAGTCTGTAAAATCCTCTTTTGGAGGATTTGTTTGTTCTGATTATATGAAAGTACAGCTAATTGTGCCAATAGCCTAAAGTTGATATGTAGGAAGCAGTGCAATAGACTCTGAGTGTTTAATTTAGCTGCTGTCAATTTTATTTTATTTTTTAATTTGAATTCACTTCTCACGTTCAACCCCAGACACTGCCACTCCCTACTGTCTTGGAGGAGTCCTGATTCACCAAGTTATTTAGGTTACCTGCCACTGACCACTGCAGGCATTAATGTTTGCTTCCTCTGCCCAAATGGGCCTTAGAAGTCAACACAAAGTGTCCGTTGGTTGCAGACTTGATGCTCTTTATTAAATCAAGATAGACCAGACTAGTAACATCATCATTTCTCCGTTAGCCAAAAGTAAATGAGGGAGATTTAACTTGGCCTTGCTGCCAAAGCTATCTTTCTAAAAATAAATTTGACCATGCCTGTGGCTAGCATTAAGACCAAGTGGTTCCTCGTTACTCACAGAGCAAAACCCGAACTCTCCAGCATGGCATAGAACACTGCCATGGCTAGGCTCCGACCCTCTATACCCCTATCCCTCATGACTTCCTCCTGCAGGCTCCTTCTGCTCTATCTTTGTCAACTACTCCTCCTTCCCCAACACAGCGTCTGCTTACAGCCCCCAGGCCTTGCTCTGTCTAAAATGCACTTTCGTTATTTGCCTGCTCAGGAGACCACTCAGACCCCAAGGTCTAGCTCAAATACCACCTCTGCTCTGGAGGTTCCTCTGCTTTACCACATAATTAAACACGCTTCCTTTATAGCTTCTGTTATTGCTGATCATTATTTTGCAAGTGTACACAGCATCTTCCCTAAATCATGATTCCTCATTTAGCTATGCAGGCTTGGTGCCCGTCACAGGTCTGTGAGTCTCAATAAATGTTTGTTGAATTTGACATTTATTTGCTTACTTCTTTTTTACAATAAAAATAAACTTTTTGTTTTCTTACAAATCAAATTCTGCATCTATTTTAAAAATTTATTCCATATTTCTGTTAGAGTTTCTCCTAACTGCACTAACAATGTATAGTGGAATATTTTTCAAATGTTTCAGCCAAAACTGCCTTCATGAAACCAAATTCTCTACTGACATCTTAAAAAAAAATGAAGCAAATTAAGCTACATGATTTCATTCTTTTTTGTCCTTCACAACTTGACTAGAATTTATTTGAAACTTCTAACTGTGTAATTGTCAACCAAGACAGATTAGTTATTATTTACGAAGGGCAGGTCAATGTTAAACAACTCCACAGGAGCGTTAGTTGTCTGACGTTCATAGTCACTGGCAAATAAGAAATCAAAATGTACATAAAATGATTATTTGCTCCTGCTTTGCCTGATCATGTGTTGCTGCGTGAAGGCATATTTCCTGTCAAAAGCATAACAAAGCTTCCTCTGCTCTACAGGATACAAATGAGCACCTGGTACAGCAAATTACCGGGCTGTAATTCACCATCTCAGTCCTGGAGTGTCGCCACATGTTCTCTCGCCACCTGGGAACACTACCTTGAAAAGTGAGTTACGTCCTTGGCCAGCCTTACCAACCAGTGCACAAAACAAATACTAGCTTCCTCATGTGTAACATTACTGCACTGCCTTTAAAGATTTTATTTATTTTATTTTTTTTTTGCCCCCAAAGACCCAGTAGATAGTTGTATGTCACTGCTGCACACCCTTCTAGTTGCTGTATGTGGGACTCGGCCCCAGGATGGACAGAGAAGTGGTGCCTCGATGCGCACCCGGGATCCGAACCCGGGCCGCCAGCATCGCAGCGCGCGCACTTAACCACCAAGCCACAGGGCCGGCCCTGCACTGCCTTTAAATGACCTCAGAAAAGGCAAAATCAAGTAGTATCGCTGTTAAGGCAATGTCCTCTATCTGTCAACCTTAGTTCACAATAAGACTCTTCAAAATCAGCTTTCAAATGGTGAAAGCCTTAACGGTAACTGTGGTAGCTGAATAGGACCTCCTCAAGATGTCCGTGTTTTAGTCCCTGAAACCTGTGAATGTGACCTTATATGGCAAAAGAGACTTGGCAGATATGATTAAATTAAGGATCCTGAGATGGGGAGATGATCCTGGCAGCCCCTAAATGTAATCGCAAGTGTTCTTAGGAGAGGAGGGCAGAGGGAGATTTGACTACAGTGAAGGAGAAGGCAACATGACCGCAGAAATAGAGACTGGAGTGAGGCAGCCAGGAACCAGGGAGGAAGTGGAAGAGGATTCTCCACTGGAGATTCCAGAAGAAACCAGTCCTGCTAACACCTTGATTTTAGCCCCTGAAAACTCATGTTGGACCTGTGGCCTCCAAAACTGTAAGAGAATAAATTTGTGTTGTTTTAAGCCACCAAATTTGCGGTAAGTTGTTACAGCAGCAACAGGAAACTAACACGGTAACTGAGCCATGCCTCAAAAGTGTCTAACGCTATTGAAACAAGTTAGTAAAATTATGGTACTCATGTGTGCTTTCCAGAAAACACTACTTTTATAACCAGAATATGAAATTTCTTGATGCTACCACTAGTAATTTATTGGACTTAATTTTTCACAAAAGCTACACATATTACAATGGTGATGCATTTGTCCTATTCTTAAGACTGTGTTTATAACATTTATTGCATTTCTGTATTTGCAAAATATTATATACTTAATGTTGAAGATCTGAAAAACACAGAAACCACAATGCAAAAAAATCCCACAATCCAAAGATAACAATTTTGGGGTCTACTTCTTGAAATTTTTATATATATAAATGGTACCTAACGCTATCTAGTTTTCAGTTATGGTAACTAAGCTCTTACGTGAATACTTAAAACAAAATCTTTTTTTTTTTTTAAACAGTTTTTTTAATTTATTTTTTCTGTGTGTGTGAGGAAGATCAGCCTTGAGCTAACATCCATGCTAATCCTCTTTTTGCTGAGGAAGACCGGCTCTGAGCTAACATCTATCACCAATCCTCCTCCTTTTTTTTTTCCCCCAAAGCCCCAGTAGACAGTTGTATGTCATAGCTGCACATCCTTCTAGTTGCTGTATGTGGGACGCGGCCTCAGCATGGCCAGAGAAGCAGCGCGTCGGTGCGCACCCGGGATCCGAACCCGAGCCGCCAGTAGCGGAGCGCGAGCACTTAACCGCTAAGACACGGGGCCAGCCCAAAATCTTTCTTAACTATTAAAGAATTCACATATATTTATCAGTCTTAGGTCATTAATGTTAATCACTCTGTTATCATTGCTTGAGCCCCCCCCTCCAAAAAAATCATGTCACCTCCAGAAACCTGAACTCAAATGACATCACCACCCCTTCTCTAACTTTACCAGCATAATCGGCATTCTATTGGGTATAAAATGATTAAATTGGCTGCAGAAGCCAGAAGGGATTTTTTTAAATAAATTTATACACGAAGAATTGTGACAACCATGATTGGATCCAATAGAGAAGTTCCTTAGATGTTAGGCCCCAAACAAGAACTATTCCAGAACTTCTCCCTGACCCCCAAAATAGAGTTATAAAATGTGCTGCAGTACCCAGTAATTGCCATGGTTTAAAGGCAAGCATATACACCTAGTGTAAAACTCTAGCATTACATACTGAGAATAAGATTATTTGGTGACTTCCTTGAAATCAAGCTGATAGAAAAAAAATCAATACATTTGACAGTAACTTTGCAGGTGGTGAGAAATCGAAGTTGCCACACACATACACAAAAATGGACAGTGAAGAAAGAAGAAAACTCTAGAGAGGGTGACAATAAAGGAAGAAATCCCCCTATCTATCACTGGCTGGGCATTTCACCAATTCCTAAATGAATAGGAATGGGAAGGAACTATCAGACCTCCACTGTATTTTATTTTCTGTTTGCCTGATATAATTAGGTCTAAATTTACCGCACAGTAAAACATATACAATTCCTATCGGATACTATTAATTCAGGCATCTTCATTTAAAAACATCTTTAGGGGCCGGTCCGGTGGTGCAAGCGGTTGGGTGTGCGCGCTCCGCTGTGGTGGCCCGGGGTTCGCCGGTTCAGATCCCGGGCATGCACCGACGCACCGCTTGTCAGGCCATGCTGTGGTGGCGTCCCATATAAAGTGGAGGAAGATGGGCACGGATGTTAGCCCAGGGCCAGTCTTCCACAGCAAAAAAGAGGAGGATTGGCATTGGATGTTAGCTCAGCGCTGGTCTTCCTCACACACACACAAAAATAATAAAATTTAAAAAATAAAAACATCTGTAGATACTGTCACACATAAACATCCAAACTTGGTGGAAGCCTACTGACTTGGGCAGTCTACATTTGCTTGTGGCCAGCAGTCCAGATAAGCAACAACTCATAGAATACCGCCTCAGTTGTGCTTCAGTCGGTACCTCTCACTCCCCAAGGATGGGCCAGAGAGCTGGAAACAACAAGCCAGAGTCCAAGGGTAGAGAGAAGCATGCTAAAGCATGAATTCTTCCTCTTAAATAGTTAGTTCTCCAGGCAGTGGGCCCAACTGTTGCCCTATCCACCAGCCAACCCAGAGTCCTCACTCCCCAAAGCTCTTGCTCAGGGAAAATATTATCATCAGGACCAGATTCCTCTGAAAACAAAATGCACAGGCTGGGCCTACAAATAGTTTTCCTGCAGACAACTCCCTGTCTAGCGGGGAGGGCCATGGTGGCTCCCAGGCTGTGGAGTCAGGCCACTCCTGTCAGGACCCTCAGAAACCCTTTAAGCCCAATGGTCAAGCCCTGTGGAAGCAAGGAAACAGCTCACCATTTAATTATTCAGACAACAGCTGCTCCTGTGAACTGAAGAACAAAATGTTATAATTCCAGCTTCTGAGAAAATTGAGGAATGTGAGGAAGAAAAAACAAGAGGGAAAGGAAAAGGGGGAGTGCAGGTGGATGCTACAGCCACAGGTTGCTTGATCTCAGAAACACAGACATTATA